AGATTTAATATTTATCATTATTCAAAATGAATACACATTTTTGTTACACATCATTCCATTGTTTGGAATGTCGAGATTCTTTTAAATGTAAAAAAAATATGAAATTATCACAAACAGAACGAGAAGATTTATTTAAAAAAAATAATAAAAAAGCTCCTAAATGTGATTTATGTAATTTAAATCATTTTAGATGTAAAGAAACAGATTGCAATATGTGTTGTAATTTGAATAAATGTAATTCATATCCATGTGAAAATTGTGAAGATAAAAAAATTGATTGTGAATATTCAATTATAAGGAATAAAGAAGAATTTGAAACGTTTAAAGAATTAGGTATGACAGCTTATATTGGACAAATAGAAAATACTAAAGATGGAAAGCCTCATGTTCATGCTTATATTCAATTTAAAAAGGTGGTTACTGTTAAAAAAGTAAAAGAAATGTTTGGAGATAATTCAATGTATTTATCTTTTAGATTATGGGGTAATGTAGAATCGAATATAGAATATGCATCAAAATTATATAATCGATGTGATAGACATAAGAAATATGGATGTAAATATGATTATTTTAATATTAGACATAGATGTGAAATTTGTAATGAAAATTGTCCTTTGAGAACAAGAGCTAGAAGAGATGATTTATTCAGTTTAATTGGTCCATTTAGATTTGGAAAATTTATTGCTCATTTATAAGTTTAAAATAGATTTATATTATATTTAAATTTATATTTTTTTTTATTTTATATTTTAAATTTTATTTATTAATTATAAATTTATATGAATAAAATGATTTGATAAAATTTATTTTAAATATTAGATAAATTATAAAATTAATTTAATTTATAAAAAAATCTTAGTATTATTTAATTTAATTACTAATCATTTTAATTTTTTTCATAAATATTTTATATATTCGAGTTAATTAACAACATTTATATATTTTTTCTCTTAATTTTTGTTTTTATTTTATGTCATATTTTATATTCATAAATTTTTTTTTTAATTTTATTTTATAAAAATTTAAAGTCAAGCTGATAAATTTTTTTTGTTGTATTCATAATAATTTAAACATTAATATTAAATTTTAATATTATCAATTAATAAAATTGACGATTAAATCTGCAAATATCACATTTGTTCGTGTGTTTTATTCATATATTTTCTACTAGCTGAAAGCTAGTAGAGGCCCTGAGATAGAACTCGAAGAGTTCTATCGAATGAGATTTGCAACAATGTTGCATATCGATCTGAAGGTGGGGAAATATTAATCTCCGTAAACGTAATACAAAGTAGTGGAGTGCAATCGGGGTAGTTTCCCCACCTTCAGAATGAAGTACAAAAATAAAAAAGGAAAGATATGTAAAAGTGTCAAAACTAGGACAGAAAGTGCCATTTTTTTGTCAATTTTGTGTGTAACATAAAAATTAACCGCACCAGAAAAAAATTAAATGTGAAATGTGAAAAAAAAAACAGAATTTTATTATGAATGAAAAAATGATCGGTTCAAAAATCATGTGATAGCCATTTCTTCGTTAAAAATTGATGCGCAGTAAGAGACATTTTTTTGTCAATTTATTAATTAAAAAGTAACAATCACGTTTTTTTGGATAGATTCGATATAATCACTAAATTACCACACCGAAGAGATAAAATAGAATAAAATAAAAATTAATAATGAAAAAGAAATATTAATAATATGATTTTTTATAAATAAATGTATTAAGAATTTTCATAATTTAAAATGTCTGGAGGTGATAAATTTTCACATGTTTGTTATACATCTTATCATTGTTATGAATGTAGAGAATCATTTAAATATAATCAGAGAAATAGAGAATCACCAGAGGAGAGAGAGAAAATGAATAAGGAGGATAAAATTCCAATTTGTAATTTGTGTAATGTAAAACATTTTAGGTGTAAAGGAAAAAAATGTAAAATGTGTTGTAAGAAGAATTCGTGTGATTCATATCCTTGTAAATATTGTTTAGAAAATGATATTGAATGTAAGTATACGATTATACAAACTAAACAAGAGTTTGAAAATTTTAAGAAAGGAGGTTTAACAGCATATGCTGTGCAGCTTGAAAATACTAAAAATGGAAAGGCTCATGTTCAGGGATATTGTCAATTTAACGAGAGAAAAACAAAAAAAGATTTAAGAGAGCTATTTAAAGATAATACTATTTGGATTCCTAAAAAAAAAATGAGAGGAAATTCAGATGAAAATAGATTTTATGCAACAAAAGATCATAATCCATGTGTTAAACATAAAAAGAAAGGGTGTGTATGTCATCATAATGGAATTAATTGTGAAATTTGCAATGATAAATGTCCGATAAAAACAAAAGCTAGAATTGAAGGATTGGTTGATAAAGTTGGACCTTTTGAATTTGGAAAATTTCGTTTTTTAAATGGAAATGATAATATAGAAAATAATGATGATAATGGAGAAGAAAATGATGATAAAGAGGTAGATTATAATTTCGAATTAGCAAAAAAAAAGTATGAAGAATTTGAGGCAATTATTGAAGGTAATAGGTTATTATCGGAAGGTGCTACACCATTAGAAGTTTTTAAACATAATAAAGATAAAGTTACATATTCAAGTAATTATTCAAATATGGGAAGGATTTACCGAGATGTAAAGGAGGAAAGGACGAAAATTAAAGGAAATAGATTTTGGCGTCCGTTTACTGTTTATATTTATGGACCAGGAGGAAGTGGAAAGACGGGATTTGTAAAGGCTTTGTTTAGAGATGAATATTATGATAAACCAAAGAAAAAAAGAAATGGTTCAAATTGGTGGAATAGATATGAAGGACAAGATATTGTTTTATTAGATGAATTTTATACAAAGATTGAATGGGATGATATGGTAAATATATTGAATGATGGTATTGTGATTTAGAATTTAAACACGGTGGTTTTACTCCATTTCTTGCGAAATATATATTTTTAACAAGTACAAAACCACCAGAAGAAGCGTATAATTTTGGTCAAAGAAATGGAGATGATGATTCGAATAAACGTAGTCTTGAGCAATTTGAAAGACGATTAGACTATATTATAGAGTTTAGAGGTAAATGGCATAACGATATAAATAAATGTACTACTGAGATTATATTTCATAAAGGTGATGAACAAAAATTTCGTAATATGGAATGGGATGTAGAATATAATAATGATGAATATACCATCGAAGAAGTTGTTGAGATGGGAGAAATTTTTATGGAAGGTATAGAGGGTGAGCATTTTGATGAGAATGATATAGTATATTGGCGACGGAAATTTCCAGATTACAAGATAAGATATTTACAAGATTATCCCAATTGTAAAAAGATGCGAGATTATAAAAAAGTAATAAAAAGAAAGGTAGAAGATATAATAGAAATATCAGAATTTAGTAATAAAAAAATTAAAATGATGGATAATAATATAATTTTAAATGATAATATTAATATAGGAATAATAGAAGTAGGTAATAATGAAATAAGTGATAATGAGATAGATATTTAGTTCATTAATAAGAAAAAATATTATTAATTTTAATTTATTAATTATTAATATTAAAATTATAAATATAGTATTTTGATCAATAAAAAAATAAAAAAAAATGTCTAGATTGAAAAGAAAATTAGAAGATTTGAAAAAAATTGATAATATTATTAAAAATAATATATCATTAGAAGATGTTTTAATGAATTCTGATATTATGCCTAGTAAATGGGTTAACACTACAAGAAAACGTAAAGAAATAGAAAAAAAAAGAAGAAAAATTGAAAAGAAACGTAGAGGTGGTCGATTTTGGCGTCCATAAACATTTTATTTTTATGGAGATGAAAAAATAGATATTGTTGAAAAATTGTTTGGTGATGAATTATATTATAAACAAAATAAAAAAAGGAATGGTTCAACTTGGTGGAATGGTTATGAAAGACAAGATGTTGTTTTATTAGATGATTTTAATAAGAAAGTTGGGTGGGATAGTATTGTGAATATATTGAATCATACTGAAAATAAAGTAGAGATGAGATATGGTGGATTTGAATATTTTATTGCAAAATATGTATTTATGACTAGTACAAAACCACCTGAAAAAGCATATAATTTTAATGGTAATGGTTGAGAGAATTGGAGTCAATTTGAAGGACGTCTTGATTATATTATTGAGTTTAAAGAAAATGAATTTATATTTCATAAAGGTGATAAACAAAAATTTTTAAATATGGAATGGGATATTAAATATAATAATGGTAGTTGTGATAATGAAGAAATTATTGAAAAGGGAAAGATGTTTACTAAAAATTTCGATGGTAAACATTTTGTCAAGAATGGAAAAGCGTATTGGCGACGTGAATTTTTAGAGGATAAAAAAGAATATTTACAGAATTATTTTAATAAATTTAATTAAATTTGATTTATGATATTTTAATTTTTATTAATAAAAAATATTTGATTATTAAATATTATCGTTATTAATTAATTTCAAATATAAATACTATTAATAAATATTTTGGTTATTATGAAAATGTCTTTTGATAAATCTATTAAAGATTTTACGAATAATAAAGTAAAAGATTTAAAAAAGAAAGAATGGATTAAAAACAATAAGGAATTTAAACTTAGTATTGATCCTTTGGGGTGTTATGTTAATGCTGAAGATTTAAAATTACATATTTATAAATCTTATGAAGATTATTATTATAACCCTTTATCTTTTATAGATATTGATCCACATAACGAATATTTGGAACAAGATTATCAAACAATTTATGAGGAATTAATTGATTATATTAAAGATCATGTTGAAGAATGGAAGATTGAATTGGAAGGAACATTGGTTGTTATTAAACATATTTCAGGAAAGAAACATTATAAGGAAGGATTTGATAAAGATGTTTGGGATGAAATTAAACAAATGATAAATCAAGAAAATAATTGATTATTGAGATTATTTTAAAATAATATTAAGTTATATCATGATTATTAATAAAAAAAATATAAATATACGATTTTGAAATAATTATACATGTAAAAAAAAATGTCTAACAAATACGATTTCAGTACTTCAGAAAAAATCAAAGAAATTAGAATGAAAAGAGAAATGATGGAAGAGAAACGTAATAAGAATTGGGTTCCTGCATCTTTTTTACTTTATGGACCTGGTGGAGTCGGAAAGACAATTTTTGTTGAAAAGATTTTTAATAGATATTATGAAAAATCAAACGTGAAAAATAATGGAAATAGTTGGTGGACTGATTACAAAGGAGAAGAGGTTGTTTTGTTGGATGAGTTTCAAACAAAAGTTGGTTGGGAAGAATTGATTTATATCTTAGAAAAAAGTAATTGTGAAGTTGAAGAAAGACATGGAAATTTTATTCCGTTTCTTGCGAAATATGTGTTTATGACAAATGTAAAATCATTTAATGATTTGTATGAAGATCAATATAACGAAGTATTTGACGATTTGTATCAATTGATTGATTACATTATCGAGTTTAAAAATGATGGAAAAATTAAAGTTCATAAGGGTGATTCAGAAAAATTTTTTAATATGGAATGGGATATCAAGTTTAAGGATGACAGTTTTAATGATAGAGATATTATCAAAAAAGCAGAAGTTTTTAATAAAGATATTAATGGTAAATATTTTGATATTAGTGGAAAAGTTTATTGGAGATATGACTTTTCAAAAGAAAAGAAAGAATTTTTAAAGAGTAAAATTTAAATGTATAAATAGTTAGTTATTTTTTTTATCTATTATTTTATTTTGTAATAAATATTTTTTTTTATAAATACTTAATAAAAATCAAATTTATCAAATAAAAAATGACGGAATTTAGGAGAAAAGCAAAAACTAAAATGAGAAGCTATGATCAAGAAATTGAAAGATCATGGGATCCAATTTTTTTTTATATTTACGGACCTAGAGAAAGTGGAAAAACAAGTTTGATAGAAACTTTATTCGGAGATGAAATGTATAATAAATCAATTAAATATTTAGATTGTAATTATTGGGATGATTATGATGGAGAAGAGATAGTTTTGTTAGATAAATATCATAAAAAAATTGATTGGAGAGATATGATGAAATTATTAAATGATAGTGATTATGAAATAGAAGTAGATGAAGGTATATTCAAACCATTTACTACAAAATATTTGTTTACGACAAATAGAATGTTACCTGAAGATGCATACGAATTGAATCAAGGAGGTAAATAAGATCAAGATTTAAAAGTTTTAAAATAATTTTTATTATATTAATATTTTAAAATTTATAGATAAATCTGGGTTGAGTAGATTTTTGAATCGTATCGATTATATTATAGAATTTAAAGGAAAATGGAATGATGATATTAATAAACGAACTACTGAACTTATATTTCATAAAGGTAGTAAAAAAAAATTTCATAATATGGAATGGGATGTGGAATTGAATAATGATGAATATAATAAAGAAATGTTTGTTGAGGGTATTCATTTTGAAAAGAATGGAAAGACTTACTGGAGACGAAAATTTCCTGAATATATGAAAAGATATTTAAAAGATTATCCGAGATGTAAAGAGATATATGAATATATTGAAGATAAGTATTCAAATAAAAATAGATATAAGAAAGGAAAAGTATCGGAAAGAGATTATAATATAGTAATAAGAGATTCGAATAATGATGTTAGGATTGTTAGACATATAAAAGATAAAAAGGAAAGGTTGGGAGGATTATTTCCTAACAATTATTCAAAAAAAATGAATCAAAATAAATCATTATGGTCACATGATGGTGGGATATTAGGATATGATAATAAAAATGAATATTATTAATTAATATGTATTATTAATTAAAATTAAATATATAAATAAATAAAATTATTATTTTATTTGATAAAAATGGTTACGAAATATGATAATTTACAAACTGCGTATTTTAATTATGATTCTGAAAATACATGTATAGTTATTGGTGATACATTCGAAAATAGTGAGTATTTTTATTTATTTAATAATTAAAGAGCAATTCAATATTAATATTAAGTATAATTTAGAAGTTGCACTTTATTTAAAAAGAAATTTTTTAAAACCAAAAGTTATTAAAAATTATTTGATCAATAACGGACGTTTGTTATTTAACTCAGTAAAATGTTTACGATATGGTAGTTTAATTTTATTAGATGATGGATCAATAAAAGATTTAGAGATTATCAAATTAGGAAAATACACTATATTTGGTGATGATGGTACAGATATCTGGTGCAATTTTCAAGGCTATCCTTTATTGATACAATGTAAATATCGTACAGTATGTAAATTTTGTATTTCTAAAAGTAAAATATGTTATCATAAGTATTGGAAAGATGACATGATAGCGGATGTTAAAAAATTTGATGATAAATTATCTGAATATAAAGTACCTATTTTTGGAATATTTGTAATTAGTGATAAAATAGGTATACATAAAGAAATTAATAATATGAGATTTAAAAATAGTATGATGGTTATTAATTTTTCGAATGAATTAAAGAATCAGATTGATGAGTTAGGTAAAACTTTTTTATCAAAAACACAAAATATGGATTGGTCAATTAGTCTCAATGATAATAGTCGTATTGAATTAGATTTAGTTTATCGAAGTTTAGAATCTATTCTTGATAACAGATTAGTTTCTTATACGGATTTATTTTTTAATAATATGAAAAAAATACTTTTTTATATTAGAAAAGCATACAACATTACCAGTTTAAATGATATTTGTAATAATTTAGATTCGTTAAATATAGTATAATTTATTTAATAAAATTTCATATAAATAATATTTGATATTTCATATATTCATATAATTCATATTATAGGTTTAAATATTTAATTAGTATTACTAGATTCTGATTCTTCTGTAATATATTCTAAATTTTCGATATATATTGGACGAGAATTTTCAGTATATGCTGGAGGTGGTTCTTTTGGATATTTTGATGGTGGCTCATTGTAAATTTCTTCATTATTATCGTTATTATTATTATTTATAATAATAATATTATTAACAATAATTTCTTCATTATTATTAATATTATTATTATTTTTTCGAATGTTGAATAAAAATATAATTTTGTTCCAAAAGATAGATGTAGCGATAGAAGAAAAAAATACTATAATAGCTAATCCAAGAAAAATTAAACTATAATTTGTTTTAAAATATATTGCTAAGAGACCAAATATTAACAAAGGTATTACAAATGATCCTATAACTATTAAGAATGACTTATGATTATTTTTGATTTTTTTTTCCCATTCTACATTTGGAACATTAGCCCAACAGATTATGATGAATATCAATGATATTAAATATAAAACATTCGTATTTACATTTGGAGCGTGTGAAACAGAAATAAGGATTATCGGTATTACAGTACCGAACCATGGACATATGACGATATTTATACAATGTTGTGTAGGTGGTATATATTTTGATGAGAGGTATATCGTAAATGAAACAAGACATACGAATAAGAAAAAGATAGTTATTCCTACGATTGCCCAAGTTTTTATGGTGTAATCAATATTAAAGAAAGCGTTTGAAATATTTTTAGGATCATAATAATATAGAGTTGGTGTTGTGGGTGAATACATATTCATGTAATTTTCTGAATCTTTTTTATTCTGTCTAAAGGAGTTTGTGATATTTGATATTTTTATACCTTGAGAAGTATTGTATTTTACTTCAATAATTACTTTATAACAAAATGGACAAATGATTTTACATCTTTCGTTCCAAACCCAAGATACACAATCACATCTTGTTGTGCATGAAGAGGACGAGGAAGATCCAGATCCAGAATTTGAACATGTTTGATAACAACTTTCAGCACAACATCTATAACCATCTTTACATAATGAACTATCATCATTAGAAGGACAATTATTATTGCAAATCATAGGGTCAATAGAATTCCAATTATCAAGTAATGAGTTACAACTACTAACGTTAGAAGGTGCATTTTCACAAGTATTGCATTCTTTATAACAACAATAATTTGGAATATTCCATTTTCTTGTAATATCACAAATGGTTTTTGTAAAGTTGTTTTTCAATATTTCTGGATATCCGATACTAAAGAATACACTAAGAAATACTATTAACGCAACTGTAGTTACAATTGATAAAGTGTATATTCCTTTCATCTTATTTTTTTTATTTTCATGGAAATAGATGTGAAATTTATAGTAAAATGTACGAATATCAATTAATTAAATTATTTAGTATTTAATATTAATATTTAATTAATGAGATAATATTTTATTTATATTTTAATTGATTATTTATAATTTCAAATTATAAATAATATCATATTTATTATATTTTTTATTATTGAAAAACTATAAGAATTGGTGAAAATTTTTAAAACAAATTATTTTTTTTTGTTATTTCATGGAATCAATTAGTGAAAGTAGTAATTTTATTGAATATGATCATTTTGATAATTTTGAAAAGATTGGAGAAGGTGTGTCTGGTATTATCTATAAAGCGGAATGGAGAATTAATAGATTATCTGTTGTTTTAAAAACTTTAAAAGTGAAAATGAATTCAGATGAAAATATTGAAGAAAATTTTATTAAAGAGGTATTTTTTTTATTAAAATTATTATTGAAATAAAATGTTATTTTTATTGAATAATTTTATTTTTAGTTTCGTTTTTTACAAAAATTAAAAATACATCCAAATATAAATAATATTTATGGTATTACTAAAGGTAATTTTAGAATTGGATTTATATTTGATGAATTTAATAATAGTATTAATAATTTATTTTTAGATTTTTCAAATCAATATAATATGGTGTTAGAATTTGCTAATGATGGAAATTTACGAGAATATTTAAAAGTTAAATTTAAAGATTTGAATTGGAAAGAAAAGATACGTATGAGTAAAGAAGTATCACAAGGACTTTTGTTTTTACATACTTGTGATATTGTACATCGAGATTTCGTAAGTATTTTAATGAATAAATTATATTAAAAAAAAATACTGATTATAATTTTTTATAGCATTCAAAAAATATTTTAGTTCATGATGGAAGTTTAAAAATAGCGGATTTTGGATTATCTACAATTTTAAATTCGGGGAAGGAAAAAGAATGTATCAATTATGGAATGCCAGGATATGTCGAACCTCAATATTTTAAAAATCCTAATTATGAATTTGATAAAAAATCTGATATTTATAGTTTTGGTGTGATTCTTTGGGAAATTTCAAGTGGAAAGTTACCATATCAATCTTTTACTACGTTAGATGCTATTGCTATTCATATTTATCTAGGTAAAAGAGAAGTAGTTGTTGAAGGTACACCAAAAAAATATATTGATCTTTATATGGGATGTTGGGATGACGATCCTGATAAACGACCAGATACAAAATTAGTTTTCGAAAGATTGAAATTACTTCATGATGAAATTTTGTAATTGAGATTATAAAATATTTTCATTAATATATGTTTTAATTATTTATTATTTGATTTTAATTACTATAAAATTATTATAAATAAACAATTTGTTTTTAAAGTATTTTATAATGGATAAATTACCTAATGAAATATTGATGGAAATATTTAATCATCTTTATGATATGAATGAATCTTTATTTAAATGTGTTATGACATCATGGATTTGGGCTAATATCGCAATTCCGATATTGTGGCAAGATCCGTTTAAGAAATACCAAAATAAAATAAATATAAAAGAAAGAGAAATAATGATAAAAAATCTTTTAATTGATATAAAAAATAAATCATGTTTATTTGAATATTTTAAATATGTAAAAGAGATTGATACTCGTTCAACAGAAAATTTTCAGATTAAAGTTAGGGTTGATATAATTAATTTATCATTTAAATTGTCTGATATCATTAAAAATGTTTATATTTATTTACCGATTGAAATATATGATATTTGGATTATTTATTTTATAAATATGTATTTAGAAAATCACAAGATTAAAACATTGAGAATAAGAAATAATTTATTTATAGATAGATTGAGAAATATTAATAATATAACATATTCTAATTTTTATTATAAATTTTAACAATTTAAAAGTATATAAATAAATTATTTTTTTTAACAAGATATTTTAAAAATGTCTAGAAAGAAAAGAAAAACTAAATATGAGAAAAAAATTGAATGTAATAAAAAATATTATTTTCCTGATGAAATATGGATAAATATTTTATCATTCATATCTTTTGATTTAATTGAACAAAAACCTTTTAAAAAATATCCACCAATCAAAATTATAAAATCTATTTTATCTGTTTCTAGAAGATTTTTAATGATATTCAGAGAGATATTTGAAAATGATGTTAAAAAAAAATTTATTGTTGATAAAAATACACTTTGGTTATCATTATATAAATTTAAAGAAACTTTTTCTTGTTCAAAATTTCACAATTTTTGTATTTATTGTTATGGATATAATAAAAGGTGAGATATAAAAATAAAGTAGATGTTTCGTGACTTGGCCTAGCAACTATCAAAGATGTGTCTTTATGATCTTTATATAGAGTTCTATTATTCTTGAGTGAATGAGGAACTAAGAAATATAAAGATTATTATTGATGATTTGATAGTAGTCGATATCGAACAATGAAAAAAATTTTTATATAGATCACTTAATTTAATATTAATATATATTTTTATTTAGTTTTAGAATTACGAATATATTAAAAAAAATCTATAATGTTGAAATTATTGAATATTATAAAAATATTCAAAAGATTAATATTATTATTAATAATATTAAATATATTAGTTTAATTTTAAATAAAAGAATTAATTCTAAATTAATAAATTCTTCAAATTTAATTCAGTTTGATTTATACAATAGTAGTGGTTGTTCTATAGATTTTATAATAAGTACATGTGATTTTAGTAAACAAATTAAAAAAAGATGTATTGCTGGAAAAATTTTTACTTTTGAATTCAAAAAAAATAAATTAAAGGTAGTTGGTAGAAAATATTACAGAAATAATGAATTATTAAAATTAATAAATATTAATTATCAGATTTATTAATTAATAATATATTTTTTTTTATAAATAAACTAATTTTTTTGTAAAAAATAAATAAAATAAAAAAAAAAATGTCTAAATTTGATCATACTAAAATTGAATTTCTTGAAGAATTTAAAATCGGTAAAAAAAATGGAAAAAATTTTTATAATAATTATTGTAAAATCAAGTATAACAATGAAGAATGTTTACTTGTGAGAACAAGTTTTATGACTGGATGTTTTATTATTGATGAGAATAAATATGACTTAATTAAAACTTATACATGGTCTGCAAAGAAATCTAGAGGAGATAAAACTATTTATGTTTCTACTAACATAAATAATGATCCAAAAAGAGTTACTATTTTATTACATAGATTATTATTAGATTCAAAAGAAGGTGATGAAGTAGACCATGTGAATGGCGATGGATTGGATAATCGTCTTAATAATATTCATAAAACTACACATGTTTTAAATATGAAAAATAAACATAAAGGAAAGGGTGAGATGGATTATAAAGTTTTTTATGATAAAGATAAACTAGGATTTATGGTTGAATGTAAGAACAATGTTTATAAACTTTTTAAAGGAAAATTTGATAATGATGAATTATTTAAAGAAGCGGTTGAGTATGTAAAAAAAGAATGGAAGGAGGAGGAAAAATTACATGATGAATAATTTTTTTTATAATTTTATTTTATTAGGATTATTATTATATGTTAATGATATGATAAGATTTAAATAAGTTTATTTATATGTTTTAAATTATTAATTTATGAGATGAATAAAAATTTATTTTTGAAAATTAATTATTAAAGAAGATTTGAAAAGATATTTATATTTAAAATTTATTAATAATTTTGTAAATATAAAAGGATACGTTTATTTTTTTTTTTAATTATTCGATAAAATGTTTAAAAATTTCAGAAAAATTGCTGGTACGGAAAATTTGTATCGATCTGATGAATTTGATTTGATTGATGAAATACAGTATCAATATTTGATCGAAAAAACAGGAATTGATGGTAGTAATATCACAATAATCGATTTACGAGAAAATTGTATTGATAAATTTTCAAATATCAGAAAGTCTATGCATACTATTCCAGTTAATATGATAACAAAAAAATTATTTTCGGTATATTACAAAAAATTAAATTTAGGTGATAAGATGTTGTATTATTTTACCAAAAATAAAAGATATTATTTGACACATACGTTAGTAAAACGAGGAATTGTCGCTATGTATATGGATTTTTTAGAAGCTTGTAAATTTGAGATTTTACATGTATTCAAATTATTATTAAATTTTAAAGATGTTGTGATCATTAATTGTAAACACGGAAAGGACAGGACAGGTCTAATTTCTATGTTAATTATGTTATTATGTAATGTTTCTGATAAAAGTATTATGTCAGAATATTCGAAATCTTTTATTAATTTAAATGTTGGTGAAAATAGATTGGAAATGATCAACGATATGAAATTATGTGGTTTATCAGAAGAATTTATTTATTCGACAACAAAATACATGTATGATTTATTAAAAGAGTTTAAATGTAAATATATTTCCGTAAATCATTATTTAAATAATTTAGGATTTAATCATTCAGATCAAGATTTATTTATAAAGAAATATAAAATGTAAAAATAATATTTTTATTGATATAATAAATATAAAATAATAATAATGATAATAATAAAATATATTATAAATTTAATAATAATAAAAATTAAAGCTCTTCTACTTTAATATGAGAATTATTTGAATCTTCATTCATTACGACATCATCCATAATAATTTCTCCTGAAGTAAATTCATTAATTTCTTTTTTAATGTTTAAAGAATTATTATTTAATGAAAATGATCCATTAGATTGATTTGTATTAATTTTTTGATTTTGATAATATTCAAATGATTCTTTTTGTTTTTTTTTAGTATTATTCTTTTCATTGGAAGCAATTCCTAGAGATGATTGTATATTTTTAATAATAATTTCCATATTTTGATTTATAAGATTACGAGTTTGTTCATCTATTTTTGAATTTTTTATAATAGCATCCATCATCTCAAAAGGAATTCTAAAATCAGTAGTAGTTTTGATATTTTCATATTCTTTTTTAGCATTTGTTTCGATTTTTAAATCATTCATTAAAGTTACTATATCATTCAATTTTTTTTCTTGAATAGTTTTTTTCGGTACTTTTGTTTTTGGTGATAATAATTTTGCAAAGAGATGATCTTTGTAAGTAATATTTTTTTGTAAAATAGTAAAATTAGAAAGATTGATACTATTTTTTACTGTAGTGAATATAATAAATCTTACGCAACATGAATTATTAAACATCAATTTAAAATTGTCGATATTGTAAAAATAAGTGATAAAGAGATTCATTAATTTATCAGCAATTAATTTAATATTTCCTCCTTTATATTTAGTAGGGTTAGAAATATCTTTACTAAATGTTTCTAAACTATTTTTACATTCATTTTCTTTCCATTGTGTTTCTCTAATTTCTGTATTTAATCCAATGATTAAAATATTATCATTCGATTCATCTTGTTGATTTGGATTTTTATAATTATTTTCGTAATTAAAGGTAAAAACAAAATTATTTCCTTTTTTATTATATTGAAGAGTTGCGTTTTGGAAATTATTAAATGTTTTGATTTGTTCAGTTTTTTCTTCTATTTTTTTGTATTTTTTTTAAAAAAAATCGAGAATAAACTTGTTTTATAGATAATATAAATGATAATCTTTACTAAAATAGGAAATTTTAATTATTAATTTATATTAATTTTTTTTTTGATTATGTTTAGTAATTTTTTGTTATCAGAGAATTTTATTCTAATCGTTTCGATTTTTTCTGATTCAATTATTATTTTTTCAGTTATTTCTGATGATAGTTTTTTGATCAAATTAAATTTATCACGTTTTATATATTTTGTTGTTAATATTTTAATTTTTTCGTAATTAATATTGGTAATGTATTTTAAATAATTGATAAAGGGTTTTTTACTAAACATGTTATTGAAATAAGATATCTTTTGATAATCGAAAATTGAATTAATAATAGTTGCAAATATATCTTTATCATTTATTTCTAATATTAGATTATTCCAAATTGGTTTAATTAGTAATTTAAAAAAATATTTATTTATCAATAAGTAATTAAGTTTGTTTTTATGATTACGAATATTATCATATTTAATGATATTTAATATTATTTCGATAGGTAAATTATTCATTTTATTTAATATTAATTTGGATTTAGGTTGTTTTATAAGAATTTGTAATTAATAATTATGAAATTTATAAATAGAAAGGAAAAAAATATTAAATAATTACAAAAAAAAAAGATGTTGAAATCATTCCTTTGTTTATTTTTTTTATTAATTATTCAAATAATTTTATTTTTACCATCAGAATTATTGATTATTCTATTAATTTTGATTATTGCTAAATTTTATGGATTATTTGAAAAGAAACAAAAATATATATCATACGTCATTACTATTCTTTACAAAAAGAATGGTGAAATATTAATTTCAAAACGATTAGCTAATTTAAATTATGGTGAATATTGTTTACCTGGTGGTAAAGTTGAAGAAGGTGAATCATATGTCGATGCTGCAAAACGAGAATTGCTAGAAGAAACTGGAATATCAGTAATGAATAAGGTTGAATTGATATTATGTAATAAGACTACAAATTATCAAGTTTATATTTATAAAACATTAGTTGATGATTCGGTTAAAGCCGAAAATAAAGAACCGAATAAACATGAAAAATGGTTCTGGACTAATGAATTTTACAAATATAATTTAACGCCAACAATGAATATGTTTAAGCAAGAGATTTTGGAACATATTAGACCAAAACGTATAGTTTTATCTGGAGCTTCTAGTGTTGGAAAAACGACTCTTATGAAAGAGTTTAAAAAAAAAATAGAAGAAAAGGGATTTACAGTAGAACTTGCTTCTGAATCAATTTTGAAGGATCGTGAATATTTATTAGATTACAAGAAAGAAAATGAGACGAAATTTGAATATGCTTTATTAACATATTATTATAAACGTATATTTGATAATATGAATTCTGATAAAGATTTTATAATAGAAGATCGGGATATTCTTGATGGTGATATTTATAAGATATTTTATGGGTTTGATTCAGAGATTATTAAAAAGGAGCATCTTGAATTTAAGAATTCTGTAATGAGATTTCTTATTTTATGTTCTGATGAAAATCTTGAAAGGAACTATTATAATAGAAAAGAAAATGAACGAAAATTTTCAATTGATGATATTAAAAAGACTATGAGTTTGTATAGGGAAAAATTTAAAGATAGTATTTGTAATGATGCTATAATTATTAATAATGATAGTGATGTAGAAAATGCGATTGATGATATGATGAAATTTATTGATCTTTTTTTAGTTAAATTTTAGTTATATTATTAATTTAGTTTATATCTATATTATTAATATTTTTTTTTATAAAATTAGGATTTTTTTTATTTATTTATTTATTAGTTAATCATGGATTTCATTAATTTTATCAATCGATTAAATATTAATTATATTTATTGTATTTTTGTATTTTTGATAATTATCATTAAATATTTTATTTTTAAAAGAAAAAGAGACACCAAAGTTATTATTTTTACTGGAGTTATTGGTGTTGGAAAAACCACAATTGCAAATATTTTACTTGAATATTTACAAAAACAAGGAAAAAAAGTTTTATTCGGTAAAGAAGTATCATTGATGCTTGGAAGAGAATTGGAAATTTATTACAAAGTCTTAAAGAAATATCCGAATGAACAAAGTATTGTTTTTTGGTATCAAGATAAGATCATTGAAAAATACAAGGAATATTTAAATAGTATAAAATTTTCAAGATATGATTACGTGATTCTTGATCGATCACATTTAGATACAATTTTTTTTACTCGTGTTGGTATTACAAAAGAATTTTATAAAGATATTTATTTACTGTATTTAAAGGAAAAACTAGATAGTATTTTGATTTGTTATGAACAAATAGTATTTTATATTTGGGTAGGTGAAGAAATTTCTATTGAGAGAGTAGTAGAACGTAATCGTAAATTAGAAAAAGGAGTTAATGAGGAATATTTAAAAAAAATTCATAATAGTTATAGGAATTATATTGATGAGATCTATCCTGTTCATCATGTTTTCGATAATGAAAATTTAGAAAAGGAGATCTTAAAGATTAAATCATGTGAATTTTTTAAGAAATATGTTTAATTATTAATTATTATTTTATATTGTTTATTTTATATATTATTAATATTTTTTAATAAAAGAACATTAATTCGTATTTTATATCAATAAATAAAAATGTCTAGTGAAATTGAAGTTCAGGATAATTCAGATGAAAAAATTTATTTAAAAATTTTTAAAGCTGTAACTGAATACAAAAAAGATGCATTTTTAAAGTTTACAAATGAAGAACAGATTCAGTTTATGAATTTATATACTATTTTTAGTAATAATATTATTGAATCATTTAAGAATGATCCACTTTTAGGAAAAACTGATGAATATAAAGAAAAATTAGAGAAAAAATGTAATGATACGAAAAATGATATTAGAAATTTA